TGTGGTTACTTAATCATAGGATATTTGTGAGCCTCTACAATGTGCCAGGCACAAAAATTTATAAGACACAGAATCTGCTCTCAACTCAGAAGGATAGAAAAAGATATAGAAGATTGTTGAGGCTGGGGACACAGCTCTGTGGTAGACAGTATGCTTAGCTTGTGCAAGGCCCTGGGTCAATCCCAAGCACTGTTTGGAGAGAATTCTGATACAATGAAGTAAATTTAATAATAACACTCTACCTATCAGTGAATAAAATGAGAAGAGGGAGCAGTCAGGTTCAGTATCCCAAAGATGCTAAAGATTTAGTTAAATCTTGAGGAAAACAAATGTACCAGATCTGGACCAGGAAAGAAAAAAAAAAAAAACCAGTGGTAAAGAGGCTCAGGTGTAAGACAGCAGGGAGTAAAAGTGGGACATGGGTGACAGTGGGGGGTGGGGAAAGGAGTATTTAAGTAGAGGCAGGAATTTCTGCTCCTCTTCACTTAAGGAAAATTAGAATCAGACTTGCCCTGCTATCATCACCAACAGAGACCCTGGGGATGGTATATGAAGCAGTGCTTTTTAGAGACAGGAAACAGCACAGAAATGTGATGCTGTGAGAAGGGAAGACACAAATGAGTCTTTTTGCTGCTTTCGCTTCCTGGCTGACACGGGGCTACAGTGCTGGAAAAGAACCTAGTAAGAGTACAGAAGTCTCACTGGGAAGAGGAGACCGAGCTTGGAGTGGGGAGCTGGGAAACGAGTTTATGGCACAGACATCAGTAGAGAAGGCTGCTGCCCAAAGAGATGCAGAGTTCTCCCTCGAGGCCCATCTGCACAAAGACTCCACAGCCTGAGGGAAGAATGTCCAGGGAGCAGCAAGTGGCACAGTCGCCAGAGCTCATGGTGGTGTTAGGGGGTGCATTTCAGTTCTAGCCAACTGTTCATGGAACACACAGGTGTTGAGTGGCGACCCCAGGAGAGTCACAGCAGAAGGCTAACCTGGCCGGACAGTGAGGCCTACAAGCTGTTAAGATAGCCATCAGGGGCAACCCACTTTCCAGTCCCCTTTCTGTCTCTCTTAGACAGAAGCTATATTTCTCTCAGTAAATTTTTCAACCCTAACCCCCCTTGTTCCTAGAATTCATTCTTCCGTTTCAGAGAACACAAACTCATGTTTCAGATATCTAGCAGGTTGGGAGTTATAATATTTCCCTTGTTTGGATTATTTTCCTTATTTGGATTACATGGTACCCTATGTCATTTGGAGGTCTACCACTGAGATCATTGGACGGCGTTTTCAACAGTGTTTGGTTCAAGGCAATTCCCTCCTCTGTGACTACTGGATTTCAAGAAAGCTTCCAAAATGAGGCTGCCAAACTTCAAGCTGTCAAACAGATGAAACCAATGACAAATGTGCTAGACTCCTTTTACCAGGATCCACCAGATCAATCTTGTAAAAAAGTTCATAACTTCTAAACCACAATATGACTTCTGAGACCCATTAAATTAGCTCTTTGGAGAGGGCCCCTAACTGTGGTCTCCCCATCAACACTTCTCAACTAGAAGCAGTTAGATAAACACTATTATGCCCTTTCTCCCCTAAGCAAAGTTAGGGATACTTCTTCAGAGGGGGGAATATTGCAGACAACTAAATTAATTAAAAATTATAAGGCAGTTGGGCAAGGCTGGGTCCTCAGCATAGAAAACAATTGAGGCACATTCACCCTAGGGATGAATAGCAGTGATTGATATTCTAAATAGACCACAATCACCTTAACTGGGGACCAAACCGTCTCTAGCTAGCCCATTCCCAGCTTGTTATGTGACTAGCTTCCCCATTTGATCTCCATTTAGTCAATATTACCTGAGCAACTATACTTGCAATCTTATTGGTTGACCACAGTTTTGTCCCACCTCATGCCCATGTGATTTTTCCAGTGGATCTTATAGATTTGTCCCACCATGTACTCGCCTCACCTTGTGGCTTTTTCCTATAAAACACCTTTGAGAAGTGGGGTGGCCAGGCAGTCAACTTTCTGGTCCCTCTTCTGTCTCTGTTAGACAGAAGGTATTTTTCAATAAGTTATTCCTACTCTTAAAAAAAAAAAAAAAAGACAGCCATCAGGGGACCCAACTAATCCATAGGTAACTTCCCTACTGCCAAAACAGTCCCTACTCTTTAAAGGAAGACAAAATCCAGCACACACAACATATATTTACAATGTCAAAAGTCACTGCACAAGCCAAGAAATAGGAAAATGTGACCCAAAACAAAAAAACCCTCAGTTGACAGAACAAGAAAGGAAGAAAATGACGGAGTTCACATATAAGCTTGTTAAAATAGCTGTTATAAATGTGCTCAATATACCAAATGGAACTTCTAGAGATAAACATACAATGTCTGAAATGAAAATTTTACTGGATAAGTTTAGCAAATGAGACAGCTCTGAAGAAAAAAATCAGTGAACTCGACAGAGCAGCAACAAGTGTCCAAACTGAAATACAGAATGAAGAATCAAAAAACACAAAAAAAAATTAACAGCACTCCAGTGATTTGTAACCATATTTAATGATCCCCTCTGCTAGTACAGTCCCAAAAGGAGAAAAGAGCTACAAGGGGCCTAGAAAAATATTCAAACAAAGAAGAGGTAAAAAATTCTTCAATTTGATAAATGTTGATAAAAATTATAAACCTAAAGATCCAAGAAGCTAAATAAACAAGCAGCACACCAGCAAATGAGAATAAGCCAATACTTGAGATAAAACAGAAAACTCAAGTCTACTCAGTTATCCCAGAAGGAGGAAGGGAGAAAAAGGACAAATAGAAACAAATACTAATATGGTAGATTAAAACTCATATGATAATTATGTAAGAAGTAAATTACCTAGACACTCCAATTACAAGGCACAGATGCCAGGCTGATTTTAAAAAGGAAGCTCCAAGTCTGTTGTCTACAAGAATAGAGAATCCCCCACATGACACAGATTTGAAAAGTAAAAGGATAGAAATGTATCCCATAAACACTGTTAATGGCAAGAAATCTACAGTTGTTTGATGACCTCAAAGGGGGGGGGGGGGGGGGGAACAAGCCTTCAGAACAAGGAATGTTGTTAACAGGATGAAGAGACTGGTGCCCAGGGTCGGGGAGCCAATACTATGCAGGAGCTGCAGTGTTCTTCGTGATGCCAGAGAGAGACAAAACCAGAATCCCTAATGGACCCTGATATGATTTGTGTTTAGATGTCTCCACTAAGTCTCATGCAGATGAGGTGGGACTTTCTTTGTTTTTTTGGTTGGTTTTTTTGGTACTGGGGATCGAACTCAGGTCCTTGCGCTTGCGAGGCAGGCGGTGCACTGAGCTAAATCTCCGGCTCGGGACTTTCTTTTTCAGAGGTAGTTGAATATGGAATATGTGATGCTGGGGTTAAAGGTGTGTGATTATTAAACCACTACATGTGAGTAATTAGTTTGGCACCGTCCTAATCCTGGTAGTCTGTATAAAATAAAAGGGGCAGAAAGATGCTTTTAAACCCTCTTATCAATTTTGCTGCCTTGTGCGAGCCGTGTTGTTTCTCCTCTGAGATGCTTGTTTGCCATGCCAGCCTCAGAGCCAGCCGATTATGGACTGAAACCTCCACGAACTGTAAGCCAAATAAACCTTTCCCCCTTTAACTTTGGGGGTCGGATATTTTGTCTCAGCAACGAAAAGTAACACAGGCCCTGAGGTCTGGGTGGGGTCTGAGTCTAAGTTTCTAACCAGTTGGGGCAGGGGTATCTTTGCTGCTGGTCTTGGAGTCTGTGGAGATTCTGGCTTAGCCTGACCGTGTAAGCTCTTCCTCTTCAGGATGCTCAGAATCCCACCTTGAAAGGATAGTGCAGTAATGAGAAAGATAAAACAAGGAAGGGAGTTTCCTGGAAGTATAGATGCTGCTCTGCCTGGTAGATCAACTGGGACGAACAGTGGAATTTGGGATCAATGGAAACCCAGGATTCTGCTTTATCCAGCCAGTGTAGGGAAGGGTGTGACACTGATAAAGGCATTGCAAGAGACATATTTTGCAGGTGAAAATAGCCCAAATTTGGATTTGTGGAATTTTCAGTGAAGTACCTATTAAAAAATAAAAAAGGCTGTGCGGTGGACATTTATTGGCTTAGTCATTTTACCATAGTCAGTGCATGGTCTCAGGCACTATGAAAAGATTGGACGTGAGATACGTGCTTGCCACACGTGGGCCTTCCCGGCCTCTGCATTTGCGTGGTGTCTGACACTTGGATCCTGGGAAGGTGCGCGTCTGTATGGGGTAAAAATCAGAGCAGCAGGACCAGAGTCTCCGTGTCATTTACAGCAAGGCACGGTTGCTGATGGTGGATGGGGAGGAAGGGCCCACGTTCTCAGGACAATTCCCAACGGCTCTCAAGGGTTGTACGTGGTTGCCTTTATAGAGGGGATGAATATCGGCCACCCGTTTACGAGTTACTCACACTGCTTGAAAGGTTCCGGTCGCTTCCTTATTCTGAAGCTTTTGTGTTATTTTACCAAGAGTTGGAAAATGGACGGCGCCGAAGCCGTTTTACCCTCAAGGAAGCGGAGTGTGGTCACTAGCGGTTTTAATGTGTCCATCACAAAAGACACAGCTCCTAAAGCGCGAGGATAGGCGCGCTCTGGCCCGCAGGGCAGAGTGGCGGGGGCGCCCCGCTCTCCGCCCGCCTGGGAGCCGGTCCCGCCCTCCGGCCGCTCAGGTGGCCCAGTGCGACGGTCCTTTCCCGGTTCCCTAGCGACGTCGGAGCGCGCCCCGCACAGCTGTCTGCATCTGGGCGCGCACAGCCCCGTGATCCCGGGGAGGCGGGAGGCCGCCGCGCCCCGCGCTCGCCCTGGCCCCTTCCCGGGACCGAGCCTGGCCGCGCGCGGACCCGGCTGCGCGCTCCAGGCGAGCAGCACCCTGGGCGCGGGGCGCGGAGCCCGGTGCGGGAGCCCCGATGACGCACCAGTGACGTCGACGGCGGCGGGCGGGATTTCCCGGCCCCTCCCGGGTGCGGGGCGAGACCCTGCGCGCAGTGGGCGCGGCCAGCGCGGGGCGCAGGAGGCGAGAGTCGGGGAGTCGCCGACCCGCACCCAACGGGTTGGCGCGGACGCAGAGCCTTGCGCCTCACGACCTCGCTCTTGTGCGGGGCAGGCGAGCTCAGAGGGCAGGTTCGGCCCCTGGACCCCCTCCCCAGTTGCGCGCAGTCATCCCGGAGGCTCAGTCCCGCGACCGGGACCCTCGCTTGGCGGGCACAGGGCCCTAGCCCACCCTCTGTCCCCGCCCCGCGCAGCCCGCGCCGCGATGCCGCTCGGCCCTGCAGCCCCCTGCTAGCGCCGCGCCGGGGACCCCGCCTGCGCCTGGGCTGCGGTAAGTGCGTGGCGGCCGCCCGAGCCACGGGGTCCCCGGGGAGAAAGCTTCGGCCTCGCGCCGCGAGCTCCAGGCGAGCCAGGAACCAAAGGGAAACTCGGGCGGGAAAGTGTCAGAACTAGAGAAGCTGCCGGCGCCCCGAGTCGCCCCGAAGCTGCCCGGGACACAAAGACCCTAGGTTCCCGGCGGGGCCCCTGGGCGGGCACCGGGATCCTCACCCTCCCGCCGCGCCCCTGCGTGGGTTGTGGGGCTTCTGCCTCCCCCTGGCGGGGGGTACCTTGGGCGAAGGGGATGGAGTGGCCTCGGGTCTTTTCGTCTGGAACTGTGTGTTTGGACGCCTGCCTCGGGAGCGGACCGAGCGGAGACCTGCGTCCCCCTCCTCCGTGGCGTCTGTCCCCACGTCCGGTGCTGAAATGCGCTGAGCTTCTCGAACGCGAGCCCGGCTGCGCCCGGGGACCTTTGATTTAATTTTTTAATCGCCTCTGAAATAATAAACGACAGGGGAGGGGACAGGCATGGCTGGAAAATGTTCTTTAATTTAAACGGATCTACTCCTTTCTCCACGTTTTCAGCTAAGATGTTAGGAAGTCCCAAAATGTCGAAGTTTGATCAAGTGATAAAGTAGGTCCCGGGCACCGGATCTACTCCCCTCTCCCCAGCCCGCATGGCTGCCTGTTCCCTTCTGTTTGCGTCGCCTACCGGATCTGTAAAAAGGGAGGCAGGGGGCGGGCAGGTTCAGCCAAAGCAAGAGGCTGCCTAGGCGTCTCCTCTGTTCTTTAAAACCTGTCACAGCAGCCTGTCCTTTGCTGTGAGCGAGGTGTGAAGGTTCCCACTATGGGCCCTGAAAATTCAGCATAAATGCCTCGCCGCTGCAGGGAGGCCATCAGGGCCTTGCCTGGCTCCTACGTTCCTGGGGCAACTCCTGTGCCTGAAGGCCTGCAGGGAGGAAGGGAGGCAGCCACCCTCTGATCCGGCCCAGCTCCCTGCCAAGCCTGCTGTGCTCACAGCTGGGTGGTGAGCGGAAAGCCTTGTTCAGCCCTGGGAGACAAGACCCAGCACCTGTAAGCTGTGGGCTCTGTCCGTATGCGTGGCCGTGGCATGGGAAAAATAGCAGGTGTGTGTTGGTGCGCATTCGAGGTCAGTTGAGGTACTTTGCTAGGCTGAGTAGGCTCACCTGGAGGTTGTTAGGCTGAAATGTCTGCCCCTCCACAACCCTCTGCTCCAGTCCTTGTCCCCTTTAGATGAAATCACCCAGAGAGACCTATGGGAGGTATCTGGCTGCTGTGAAAGAGCACAGCAAAAGGGCAGTTCCCAGCAGTCCCTGCCTGGCTGGGCAGCTGCCTTTTCCATTTCTCAAGCACATCAATAATAAAGGAACCCCAAAAGAGCTTTCCCCTGTTCATTTCAGTTTTTAATGTAACAGTGACAGTCCCCTAAGCCTCCAAATCTCAGTGCATCCTTGGAAATGGTGGGACATTGGGTGGGAACATGGAACTGGTGCCTGGGAAGCAAGTGCCCACAGCTGTCTCTCGACAGGACAGCTGGACTGAGGAGTGGTCCAGTGTTGCTGCCCACAACACCCACACCACAGCTAATGACTTCAGGGTAAACAGCTAAATGGCAGAGAGAATTCTGAAGTGTATGCCAACAATCATTCTCATTTATTTATTGCCACATCACACTATCACATTTCTTTAGTTTGCCTCATTTTTGTTCTGCTTGAAGAGCAAAGAATGCCTAATAATACATATCAGAAGATGCCCTTTTCTTCATGGAATTTTGAGGCATGGATTTTTAAGCTATTTCCTGGGTTTTGTTCCCAGAACACCTTCATGAGCATGTACAGCTATCTAATCATGCTGATTTTCCTTGGCCTTTTTATTCACTCCAGACATACTCAGGCACAGAGACTTTTATTATTCAGGTACAAAGATGGTTTGTTTGGCTTACTCAATTTAACTTTGTAAACACTGAAATATCAGGCTGGGATTTAGCTCAGTGGCACAGTGCCTGTCTGGCAAGCATGAGGTCCTGAGTTCGATCCCTGGTACCAAAAAACAAACACTAAAATATCCCATCACCGCTAGCTAGCAAGGATATCTTAACTGAAAGTCAGAGAAACTAAGTGAGTATCAGGAAAGAAAAGCATAGCGACCAAGCAGAGAATACAGCTGTTAAGGGCTTGAAGCAGCTGGTTAAAAACAGATGAATAAGCCAGAGGCCTGAGTCACATGATCAGATGTGAAAGCACAAATGAAACCTCCATTTAGAGAAGGAAGTAGAGGCAAAGAAGACTGCTGAAGGGAGAAATTACCACAGAGTGCCCTAGCCAGCTGAAGCATTCTGGTCTCTCTTGTCACAGCTTTAGTAAGGGCAGGTGGTGGCTGAAGGTGCCAGGTCTCCTGCAGCCTGGGAGTTGTATTGAAGCTGTGGCACTTACTGTAGATGGCCCTGGCTGCCAAGGAAAGGTGAGAACAGGTAAGCAGGGGTGGAGAAGCTGTTCATCCTGGGGTTCTGGGTATCTGCATGCAAATCAACAAAGGCCCAATCTACAGGACTAGAAGGGGACAGGTTAGTGGGCACAGGGGTCAAGCAGGAAGGGCCTGTCTACCGGGCTTGGGTTGGACACAACGTATGAATGATCCCATTGATCCTCATGTGATACCTGCAAGGTTTTGATTTTTCAAAACAACAATAGTGACTGCTGTGTCAGGGGTGTGTGGATGGGATGTTTGGTGGGTGGGGAGAGACTTTAACAGAGGAAAGTGTCACATAAATGGCAGGTGAGTGGTTGAGTCTTGGCGGAGAACAAAGTGAGTGACTGGGTGGTCATCCATCCCCCACACTCTGTCCAGGACATGGGCTCCTTCTCAAAGGGGAGAATTTGTCCCTCTTTTTCCTTAGATTTCTCTGACTCTTGCTCTCTGGGCAGTGTGTGGTGGCTCTCTCCAGTGCGACATGCATTGTGAGGCTGTGAAAGGCCCCCAGGAAGAAAAGAAGCACTTTCCTTCCTCCTGTGGAGCCCAGGCACCACATTTTCCCCAATGCACACGCAGGCAGGTCATCACTTACCAGGCACTGACCGAGCTCCTGCCCTTGTTACTGGTCCCCAGGTTTCCTCCTGGTGCTGGGTCTAATGCACAGCTGTGGGGCCTTTCCTTCCACTCATCAAGCCGTCACCACTGAGGACAGGGCAGAGCAGTAGGAATAAGAAGAAGAGAATCATGTTTCAATCTTTTAACATTCTGATTTGGGCACCTCTACAACTACTTCCAAGGTGGTCATCTGAAACCAGATGCTCCCCATCATCCCGGGATCAGCCTCATTTACTTCTGGTGTTCAGTCACACAAGTATATAAAACTGAAAGATTTCTACCAAAGTAGGAAGTGGGTTTAGAAGATGGGAAGGAAAAAGTCAGGAAAAACTGGTCCAGTGGGAGGCAAAACAGTGGTGAAGGGAAGGTGCTGAAGGCTCTTACCTGAGGAGGTCCCATGGGGCTCTGCGGCTCCAACACTGCTAGAAAAGGTGAGGACAGGTGGAAGGCCAAGGTGGTCAGCCCCTGCAGGGTGCACACACAGGTCTACCTGGCATGCAGCTGGATGGTTGTACTCCTGGGGAGGATTGAGCTCTCTCCCGAAATTGTGGGGCTCTGGGGCCCAGGACTATGTGTAGCACCCCCTCTCTCTGTGGGGCCTATGCTCCAATGGGCTCCCCACACCCTCCCCTCTGGCCCCCATTCCTTGTCTATATGAGATTCAAGTCTGCACAGAACTGGCATCCTCTGCAGTGTATTTCCAGCCCATTTGGGGGCCATCTGTCCTGCCCTGGGGGACCTGCAGATGCACCCTGGGTGGAAATTTCCAGCAGGTCCTTTTCCCCTTCCACAGCTGGTATTGGAATAAATGTGAGTTGATTCCTGTTTGGTTTTGAGTGTCGCTCAGCAATCTTGGAAATATCCTGTGTCCTCTGTGCCCCAGCTAACTTCACGCACAGCCCTGGGCTGCACCTACGGGCCAGTGCATGCTCACCCCCTGGACACCCTGGGCCACAGCCTGGTGGGGGGGCCTAGTTCCACAGTGGGCGGAAGGTGTGCATGGGGGACACAAGTGTCCCAAAGATGTAGACACACATCAGGCTTCCTGACTGACCATTCAGGGCAGTGGTAGGTGTGGCATGTGTCTAAGAAGGGAGGAGGATGGATGGTGAGTGGAGGACCCAGAGCTTTAACCTCCAAGGAAATGATGAAGGGAAACCCACAGTGCTGTTGGCCTTCGAGCTCTTTCTGGAACGGGGTGAAAGTGGCTGTCCTTGGCATCACCCAGTTCCTCCCAGTCCAGCTGAATTTTATCTGATGGAGGCAAAGTCACCTGTGTCCTCTGCTGACATGGACCCTTGGGTGCCCCCCTCCCTGCTGGCTGCCTCATCTCCAGGTGGCTGCACCTGTCACCCTTTCCACTGTTGGTTGGCTGGTGTCAAGTTGTGTCTTGTGGTTCTCTGAACAACTCAGTATCTTTCCAGAGCCTTCTTTGTTGTAGTTTATTGCAGTAAATAGTCTGAAATAAGTCAGTAAGTCACTGGCTAGACCCCACACTGAAAGTGGTCATCACAGAGCCCTGCCAGGCCTTGTGATGGATCTTGCCAGGACTGCTGGCCTTTTTCAAGTTTTCTTATGAATTACAACTCCAAACTTTGGTCATCTCCAGTGATCATAGTGCTGGACACTATGGAAGGACTCTTCAATAAGTGCATGTGGCTGGAAGTCATAGTTGTGTTCCTAGAAGACTGTAGACCACACCTTTGTGGATGACCAGTTAGGCAATGGAAAGACCAGTGAGGCACAGTGATAGCTTCCAAAGAGCAAGTGACCCAGAAGGGAATCCGTGTGTGAAAACAGCTTCCCTACCATGGATCAGGGCTGTGACCATGCTTTTAAAGATCCATGGGCACAAAAATGATGGGAAGGCCCGAGGCCACGGGGCACAGCAATGCCTGTCTGCAG